ATGCAGCTTAAGATCAGGAAAACAGTCCTGAAAAACACATCAGAGAACTGCTGCCCCTCCCTCCAGCTCAGATTTGCTAACCACTGCCTTCACCATACTTAAACATGCTCTTATGAGCCCTTCTAATCTAAAACTTCCAATGTCTGTTTGGAAGGAAGGATCTTGTTTGGGGAATTTATTGAAGCCGTTTAGGACCTGAATGTTCTCATATGTTCACAGTAGCATTTTATACTTTAGGACTTGAGTCACCAGCATGAGGTGCAAATAAACAACCTCACGTTGGACATTTTTGTGGCACAGCACTGAGATGAACTATGTAAAAATTTAGAAGCTTTGGATCACAATCAAAAGTGGCTATCCTCATTTATGCTAATTTGAATTAAAGCATTTGCACAACCAAAATGCTCCCACCTGCTGCTTGTTATTCTTTTAATTGAAGCTAAATGCCCCCTTCCTTCTGCTTGCTTTAATAGCCAAATTGGGAGGGTAAAAAAAACCCCAAACAACCAAAAGGACAACTACTAGAAAACAAGCAGTTTTCTAGTTTTAACCAAGATATTTTGTAGGGAGCAATCAAATCCAGTTCAACTAACAGGGCAACGCAAGTGGTGGCCTTTGGTGGAAGCAAGTCAAGCTAGGGGACTAATAGAGAGCACCAAGGGTTAAGCAACCTCTTACTCTGAATCCACTCATGCTAGCTTCCAACAGAAGTTTTATTGGGTCTACACAGACCTCTGCTTCTCCAAAGGTCAATTGAAGACCTCAATTGAAGACTAATCTGATCCAAATTACCCTATAGAAGAACCTATCTACTCAGTGACAGGACCCTAGGAGAATAGTGTCCTAACTTTAGTATCTACTCTAGATATTTAAAATTCAATGATATAAATATCCTCCAGCTACAGAAAATGTGCTTAGAGGCAATTATCCCTTTTGTCCTTCTCAACTTGTTATTACAAAAAGGCATAACTTGCTTCTGGTGCTTACAGGCATAGCATGCACAGCACAGGTATTTACAGATAGTGTCTGGAACTATTCCCTCTATTGCTGCACTTCCACCTTTACAGAAATTAGTTTCTTTAAAAGGTAATGCAATAGGAGTTTCTCGTTACATTACTCAAACTCCTATTGCAGCAGAAAATGGAGTGTACTATTAAATCATAAATACAATGCAAGTATTTTGTTGCTGGTTATGTGATGGGGGGCAGGGAGATAGACCTATTATGTTTAAATGAATCCAGGTGCTGGATTTAGGTATTTAAATGTGAAAGTCTGGAGATGTCCTTCCTTCTCATCTGCACATATGAATAAATGAGAGCAGGAAATTTCCCCAGGCAATTCATACACCTCACTTCCAGAGCTAGGCCAATCTCCACAACCCTCAACTCCACCATCTGCCTGGCAAGGACATGAATGCAAAATGCCACAAGATGCTGAAGAGCTGCAGTGGCTTTATGTTCATTAACAAAATCCAGAAAGATCACCATCACACAGATTTCACCATGACAGCTGAAGGGCACCTGTAATTCCCTGTATGCCAAAGTTAAATCAGAAAGTGCAAGGTCTCCCTGTGAACACATCAATTCTTGGTTATTCTAATTTACTTTTAGTAACTATTCCAAAATAACTTCAAGCATAGAGTAGCCATTAGTTTCCAAATCCTAACCAAGCCAGCTATTTTCTCTGTTAGTTTCAGAACAGTGGGTTTGTGCAAAAATCTGTGGCACTGCCTTAAAAGAAAAATCTAGAGAGACCAAGATCTGATAAAAGGGAATCCATCTCTGATGGTGAGCAGAGACAACTCCTTACAATGGTAAAATAGTAAACATTCAAAAGATGGGAACTCACCACAATTATACACAGTACCTCCCTAAAACACTCAGACATCTCACTCTTTTGTAAATTTGGTCCTCTTTTTCACCTGAATTCAAGTATTTGTGTTTGACACTATGAACAGGCAACTGCTATACTCAGTTTCCAACAGAGTAAGCAGGAATAACTGTCACCTAAACCATGGCAATCCAAATTCAGTGTAAGGTCTACATAAACAAATACTAAAGATTTGCAAACTAAACCATTCCTAGTGTATTATAGATGACTCAGTTTCTACCTAGAAACTACTGCCAGTGCCCAAGAACAGGGTTATTTTTCTTAGTCCTTGGTGTAACTTTCAGGCTTTGGAGTGACAATCACACTCACATAAAACAGTTGTGTGCTTTGTATGTTACAGAGCTGCATGTTGAAAACGTTACCAAAATTTTATTCCAGTTAAGATGCATCTAGATTTTCCTGCTAACTTAAATGGAGAGAGATGTTATTTCTCCTAAAATAACAAAAAAGGGAAATGTAGAAGATTCTTGGGTTTGTTCTCAACATGCCAAGTTCCTTATGACAGGTATTCTTTCTTTTCCCCTCTCCCCACCTTCTTCAGCAATCAGTACAATGAAGCAAAGAAACCAACCACAGGCATATCTCAGATGATAGAACAAAGAACAGATGAGGCTGGAAATGAACCTCTGGAGGTCATCTAGTCCAGCCTCCATCAGCTTAAGGAGGGTCACCCAGCCAGTGCCCAGGATGCTGAGTGTCCCCAATGGTGGAGACTCCCCAAGCTCTCTAGGCAGCCTGTGCCATAGAATGTGTCATCTTGTGTGCTTCAATTTGTGCACATGGCCTCTTGTCCTGTTCATGGGCATCACTGAGAAGAATCCGGCTCCCTCTTCTTCATTCTTTCCCTCCATCAGGTATTCCAATACATTGATCAGATTTCCCTTGAACCTTCTCCAGAGACTTTACCATTTTTACCCCCAAACTGCAGTTTGTCTCAGAAAAGGACCTGTTGCAGAAAATCTGAGCAATTACGTCTTACATGCATCTGTGTGTACATGCATGAAATAATTTCAATAAATAACAAAAAACATGAATTCACAGTGGTAGGCAAGGAAAAAATATTTTTATGTAGTTGATAAAAATGAAACAGAGACATTCTGACTTACTGCACAAACATGTACACGAAAGGTCAATATTAAGAGCATCTAAATGGTAAATTTTGATTTAGAAGTATGAGCATGTGATACTATGTGGACAGCTATGTTTCTGGGAAAGGTAGAGCTGAAGAGCTGATCTACAGCAAGGCACTTACTTTCCTCACATCTATAAATAGCTCTGGCTACCCTTCCAGGAGTTTCCCTATAAATCTAAGTCTCCTTTTCTCTTTCCTCAACCTTCTTGACATTTACATTTCTTCAGAATCTAAGGAAAATGAGTTTTCAAATAGTTGAGGGTATTTTTATTCTTTTATTTTTATAAAAGGTGAACAAAACATGCAACAGAAAAACTTCATTCCTCACAATGGCTGCCCTTCAGTTTAGGACATCTGTCCTAACTCTGTGCCATTTACCATTCTTAGGTGAACACAAGACAAGGAGAAACCAGAGCTATGTAACTCAAACAAAAGTATTTAGTCCATTAGCTGAAAAGGAAAATCCCACCACTACCTCCTATTACAGAGGCTCAATCTTCTTAATGAGACTCTTCCTGCTGATGCATTTCTCTGAAGCTCCTGAGGATCTGTAACATGCAGCACCCATTTCTCAGCCCTTCCAAACATCAGTTATCACAACTTGTCCTGTGCTGGTGACTTTTATTAAAGAGCACCTTCTTGCACTTCATTATCAAGTCAGATATCTAGAAATCACAGAAATCATCATCTCAGTGAGGGACTAATGCCTTCATTTGGAAAAAAATGTTGACTGCATCTGACACAGCAAGTGCAGATGCATTAAACCAGGGATTTCTAGTCGAGTAATTTCCAAAGCTACAACTTACAGAATCACTGTAAAAGAGCAACAACGAACATGTAGATCTTCTACATAAAGTCGCTCCCATAGTCCTCATAATAAAATGCTCCATTTTATTTAGTTTTTGTAAATTTAGCAGTCCTGCTGATGTGACATGGGAAATATATCCCAAAAGATGCAATAAGTACACACAGTAAGAACCAGGACTCAGCACACAATTTTTGCAAATGCACAGTGGGTGACATTTCTGATGACAGTAGAGCAGTTAAACTACTCAGTCTTAATTATAGCAATATGAAAGATTATCAAAATAGTGGCAATACATTAATTATGTTTGCCTGTTCAAGCATTTACAGAACTATACATACAGCCAGTTAGGTACATGAGATTTTGGGAAAGGAAAAGAGGATGCATTTCCAAAAACCCAAACTGAAAAGCCAAATAAACTGATAACATAAAACAAATTATATAGCACAGGTATTAGCAAGGGGCAGAAGCAGATCCTGGCATTAAGAAAACCCCGCAAGGTTTCCTCCTCAGAATTTCTTTTTTTTTCTTTTTGATTCTCTCTGGATGGAATTCAGGGGGTTTGAAAGTTTAAGGATGGATGTTGTTTCAGTCTTGTTTTTCAAGACAGGTAGTCCAGCACTGGATGGAATTAATCTCAGTTTAGTATCTAACCTGAGCTAAATCACAGCTTCCACAATCTCCAGAGAGGCTCTCTAGAACATGATTCATTCTACTTTCCTGAAATGTCTGCCTTAGGAGATTAATAACTCTCCAGAGGTGCCCAGATTCCTCCCTTGAAGTAGATGTCTAACTTTCAGAGAGCTAACATTCAGGGAGATGAATTCTACTCACTGTGTACCATGATTACTGGACATCTTATATCTGGGAAACTCAGCATAAGAGTTCTAAGGAAATACAAAGGTTTTGGTAGGTTTTGTTGTTTGTTCACTTGTGGTTTTTTGTCTGAAACTTGGGCTTCCAAGTACATGGGCGATTGTAAGGTCCAAATTCCCATGCAAAATTATGCAAGTCATGCTCACGAATGGACTTAATTAGGTGTATAATTTAAAGAACAGAAACCCCTTCCATTTCATAGAGCTATGTAGCCAGACAGCTCAAAATTGTGAATGCAAGTAAGTATACTACTTATTGAATTAAAGCCTTGAAGAGTTAAGAAGACGCTTTAAATGGTAAAGTTATCATACTAGTTTTTGTGTTTTATTATTATATTTTATTGTCAAATTACCCAAGGAATTACATCTTTACCTACAGGCCATCCCACATCAATTTCATACAGAGGGTATGGAAGACCCCCTTTAGCTTAAAAACAGGAGCAGTTCAGAGTAAACCCCTTCTTTTGGACATGTTAGCCATGGTTTTTTTAACATTTGTTGCCAAAGCATATCTTTTACAAAGCTTCAGAAAGACAGATAACCAAACAACAGGATTAAAAAAAGGAATATCCTTAACAGCAGAATTTAGATAACATGACTGAGGGACAGTCTAGTGATGGAGACAAGACCCAACTCAAGAGTAATTAAATTCCTCCAGTGAAGGAATTGACATCATTCATTTTGGATTAAATGGAACTAGAACGTAAGTTTCCCTCTATGTGACTGCTTTGCAAGGAGACAGTCCACAGTAGTTATCAGACTTTGCATTCAGTCTTCATACCCTGTAACCCCTTTCATGAGCAGACAAACCAAAAGGCACTTTGGCAAAGCAACACTGGAAATTCAGCACATCTGTCCAGGCTTTTCCTGCTGCATGGTAGAGATGAACTCAGTCTCCAGGTAGAGTAGAGTAGTTGAAAGCAGAACTGCAATGAAACACCTTTTTTCTATTACACTCACTTTACAAAAGTAATTCCTACATGAAAAACTTTGAGATTTATACATATATGTTTATGTATGTACACATATCCAAAAGAATTCATATAGACACACAAAATGTGTGTGTATATATATAATTTATGCATACATATATATAAATAAATAGACACACTTAAGTATAAGATAGCAGAACTAAAGAGACAGTGGCCTATTCTTGCTTCTCTGTGACATACAGGGAAGGTCTAAGAGCAAGTTGTTTTCTTTATCCTACAAGTATTACAAATGTCAAGTCTGGTCTAACTTTGTTTTGCTGGAAGACTTCTTGGACTTATAAGGCCATAGCTAAAAGAGCTTCTTACTCTCTGATTGAAGGTTGAAGTCTACAACTATGGATGGAAGCCATTCCCAATCGCTTCTCTGCTCTTTGATTTAATTATATGTCAGTAATAGCCAAATTTTAAACAATCCAAATAAAAAGTCAACTTCAATTTTTCTTCCAAGTGACAATAGAGAATTCCTGAAAAAAAAAATTTTCAAACAGAAGATGCAACACAAGAAAGAAAAAATCTTCCAGTGTGAACAAAATTTCAATTTAAACCTCCTTTACGCTACCTAAAAAGCAACAGAGAATGAAATTCTTTACACATATGTGATTACAAAAACACTTATTTGATTGACTGATGAGAAAAACTCTATTATCTACCAAGTTCACCAGTTTGAAGGCACAATGGCTATCACTTCACCCACATCCCACTCTGTTTACAGTGAAAAACAAACAAAATGGATCTCTGTAGGAAAAAAAGGAGATAAACACAGAACAACCCCTGAGAAGTGAAATTTTACAACAAATACATTTGTTTTGAACTCTGTTCTTTGTAAACTCCCATTATCTGTACCTGTGTTCTCATGTAACTAGAATAATAATGTTTAATAATTACAATGAAAAATATAGACTAAAAAAAGTTACAAGTTCACAGAAAAACAAATGAACCCAAACAAGATTGAGAGAAATGAGGTCTCACAGAGAATCATATGAAAGCTTCATCTTTCAATATGGAAAAAAAAAAGTAAATCAATTTAAAGTTCTCTGACAATGCTCAGATTTCTAAAGAAAAAAATGAAATGGCATAAACTAGGTGGAAATCCCATAGTGCCATCTGTGTGGAGGGAAAAAATCAAAAAGCCAACTGTGCATGCCCTTCTTTGGATCTGGAATTCCCCAGAGATTCAGCAAAATTTAAAAATCTGAAGAACTAGGTCTTTCAATAAAATCAGATAAATGTTCTGTAGCTGTTTCATGACATGGTTTCTAAAGTATTGGCACCAGCACAAAGAGTTCAAAGCAGTCATTCAGGAGTCACAGAGATTGTCAGATTTTTAACGATTTGCAGCAGTCCTCTAGTAGCAGTTGGTTATTTACTGCATGAACTGAAGTGTTCTTTGTCACTGATCTTCAGTACAATACTGTACTTCTCTCAGACAAAGTATTTTTCTTCTTATTCCAGTAGGTAATAAGTGCCATCAATACAAGAATAGCAGAATCAGTATCAAAAGACAGCCTATATTTTATGGTCCATATGCATCAACAATGGCTAAAAAGGTAAAATTCTAAACCAAAGCTGTACAGAGCAACATACTCTAGCAGTGGTATTCAAGGGAAAAAAAAGAGAAAAGCTTCATCCAAGAAAGTGCAAAAGGAAGAAACTTCCAGAAATTGTTCATCAACACAGTTTTCCTTCTCCAGAGGTTAAGCAGTCTTAAAGAGAGAGTGCAATAGTACCTTGAGCTACTCTCCTCTTGGAAAAACAAAACAAAACAAAAACCCAAACAAAAAAAAAATGCAGTAATAAGGTTTGGTAATTATAAAATCATGAAATTGTATTGCCCTTGTTTCAAACCCATTATATTTTCATTGCTGTTTTACTGAACAAAGATGCTTGTTTTTACACCTGACAGTAGATTTGATGCCAGTGAAAGGACAGTTGCTAACACATTACCCTAAGTTCTACTTTTTATGGTACTCTGCACAATAACCAGACGTATCACAAATAAAGTCTTGACCATGACAGAAATTTATAAAAGAAAACTACCCTGGAGTTTTCTACACATTACCAGTTACAACATTAAGTACTTGGCTTAAACTTTCTATCTCAATACCAAGAAGCAGCTGTCAATTTTATCTTTCATTTCTGCTCCAAGTTCAGGTGGTCCAGGTTCTTTCTTGCATTTATCTGTTGTGCTGCTTAGGCTGGACTGTAAAACATCACTACATCTATTTCAGGTGAAGGAAGGGAGAAAGCTGTATCAGATACAATTCACTGCCAAAACTCAAAGAAGACAAAGTGCCTTTTCTATCTGTTCTTATACACACTTAAACTGGTTTTCAAATAACTAATTATAGGCCAGATGATAAAATCTTATGCTGCAGGTCAAACTAGAATGCTACAATATCTGTGTATGTATATACAAATACATATGTATACATTTATATATACATACACAAATACATGAAAAGGAAGCACCCATATTTTCCTTACTGATAAATATTGAACTTCTGCTTTCACCTGGATATTAACATAGTGTATTGTGTATAACACCCTGTGAAGGGACATTTAAGAAGACATTCATTTGCTTCTCATTAAAGCCAGACATATGGCTAGTATTTAAAAACATGCACTGCCACCAACTAACAGAGCAAAATAATTCTTAGGTACAATATCAACTTAAAGAAACATAATACATTTAAATGTATTTTACCCATCTGTGTAGATAATTAATAGTTTCCACTATTTTATAGCAGATTTATATTCTCCTTAAAAAAAAATCAGCACAAATTTACAGGAAAACAACTCTGTCAAACAAGTTCCACAGCAGCATATGTAGGAAGTCACTGGGTGAAACTCTTTTTTATGAACACATTAGGAAAGTTGGCATTGAGTTCTAGCACAACTCTATTATCGATCTGTGAACAGAAGGACACATCGAGTAAAGAAAGATCTTTACAAGACTCCAGCAATTTTCTTAAAGATGCAGGGCTCACCATCCTCGTTCCTGTTCAAAAACAAAACAAAACAGAATTGTAAAGTTATCAAGAAAAGTGTAGGCTTTTAAGCTGTTAATACCATGTCATGAAAAAATGCTACTTCAACACAATTTTCATCTAGATTATTTAAATGAGTTTTCAAATTAAAAGCTTCCCAAAGAGCACATAGAACTTTTACCTTTAAAAAACCTAGTGCATTTTCTTAACTGTTCAAGTCACCATCATTTCCTACTGGGGGGCAACTTTACAGCTTCAAGGGGAATTTCTTACTAGAGAAGCCAGGTACCCAGAGCCACAAGCCCTCCCAGGGACCAGATGCTGGGCTTAGGCAGCAGCATGGAAGGCTATAGCCATGCTCTCCTGTTGAGCACACACACCATCAGCACAGCAGATGAGTGACTGGGGGTTATTCCAATTCCAAAGGCATCAGCAAGGCTCCCAGGGCTCCAGAGCAAGTGTGGGTATTACACACATGCAGGGGCAGTTATTCAAGAGACTGCTGATCATACATAATGTATGTATAAAACACACAAGTTAAATCCTGCCAAAAACAAGACCACAGTGACTGAACTCCCAAGTGTTACACAGGGTGAGAGCAAGCATAGGATTCAGTCAGATACCAAATAAATCTATGTTTATAAGCACAAATCCACACATCCATTACAGCTGATGGACATCCAGACAGCCCAGTCCAAGGTGCTTAGCACCTGGCTCACCTGACTGGGCTCTGGGGTGTGAGTCAGCTGTCTGGAGTACTCAGTGCCCCTTGGGGACCTTAGACCATGCAGGACATCCACACACAGCTGGCACACAGGACACTGGACCCAGAGGAGGAGATTCATGCCTTACAGGAAAGGCTGGAAGTTTGGCAGGTTACTCTAGGCAAGTGAACTGAGCCTGGGTGTCTACAGTGGGATAAACTGCTCATCAAGCTTTCCCTCTAGAGAGTTTATGTATCCAAGACTACTGCAGAAAACTGCTGGCAGACTTCAACTCACACAGCTCCATCTTCATCTAACTAGCACCCCAAAAAGCCACCTAGTTCAGGATCTTGTCTAGTGCCAGGGCCAATTATGCTCCCTACACTCCTTACCTCCCCTGCAAAAAAAGCAGCAGATTTTTTTAAAGTAGATTTTCACTGGTGAATCTTCTCAATTGCCAAAAATTATAATTTTAGGGTTTCTAAAGCTATCTTTCATGAATTCTACTACTTTTTTTTTAATTTCTTCATACTTACAGCCCCTTCACAAGTTCCACAGTTTAACTTCATAATGTAAAAAAAAAAGAGAAATAACAAACAAAAAACTCCAGCCTATTAGCTGCAATAATTAAGGTGCAATTAAAGAAGTGTGAGATCATTCCAATTCACTATTTCCAAATCACGCATACTCCCATGCACATCTCTTCTCTTCCCTCAAGGCCATCTGTTTTCTAGACTCCCTTGCATCTCAAAATGACCCCTGTTGTGTTGTTTCTGCACTAATTTAGTACTTTTGAAACTGGATTACCAGAACAATACAGTGCACTGAGCACACAGTCAGTAATTTTATAGTAAGTCTTATGGTGTTTTTTCCATTTCATGTCTAAATAACCCTAATTTTCTCTATTCCCACTAGAATTATGCTAGGCAATGAGCTGATGTTTTCCAAAAATTGTCCACAGGATCTCTTTCCTACAAAATAGAAGCTAATATAAATCCAGTCCCCTATATATTTAGTTGATGCTATTTTGCCTCATGTGACTACTTTGTACTTGATTCAATGTTTTCTTCCTGCTTTAACACCTGTTTAATAAGTATCACAAGATCATTCTGCCACTCTTCAGTGTTAAATTCTTCAGTTTAAGATTTTTCTACCCCGAATACCTGTGTGTTACTCGCTGGCATTATTCACCCCTCTGCCTGGATTACTCATAAGCAGATCAGAACAGACCCTTGGGGACCACAGTAGTGACATAATTTCACTGTGAAAAGAGATGATACATTCTTGTCCTCGGAAACACTCATAATCCAGGAAAAGACAGATAAATCTTTTCTCATAATCCAGGAAAAGATAGACAAAAGCAGCACAACCTTGGCTGAAGTTTTTGAAAATCCAATCTTCTATGGACTGGAGTAGTGCTCACATTCACCAAGAACTTCAAGGAAGTTTAAAGGATGAGAAGCAAACCCGATACTACCCTTGTTGGGATGCAGCTCTTCATCTAAATATGGTGATGTCCTCTGTATGTCCACTGACTGACTTTCTCAGGGCTGCCACTGGTTTACACAGAGAAAAAGATGATCTTACTGTTTTGTAGCTCCTAACCCAAGCCCTTTACAGAAGGCTGTGCCATGTTTGTAACCCTGCATTACTCTAGCACCGAGGCTGATTTAAGAGACAGATCACACACCAGAAATAAGATTTCCAGAGCCCTGTATTTGAGCTCATTCAGAATCACTGCATAAATACCATTTAGTCCTAACAATTTATTATTGTTCAATGTATTGATTTGTTCAAAAGCTTTCTGTATTGGCATTCCAATTTAAGGCAGCTTTCCAAGCTAATCTCCTGGAAAGAATGGCTCTGATGTAGCAGCCTGCTCGATCCCCTCTGCCATGAACACCAAGGGACACACAACAGCTCTCCTGCAATAGCCTTGAACTGGGGTGAGCCTTACACCTGGACTATCTACCGAGCTCAGCCACCCCTGTGAACTTCTAACACAGCTGAAATACAGTATCATTCACCTCTAGCCAGTGGTTCCTTAATACTTCATCCTGCCTTACTGTGATTGTGTTTCACTTTCTGGAGTTCATCTTCCTATTTTCGTTCTCTGAATGGGATTCAATTTCAGAAAGACTCCAGATGGTTTCACTAGTCTCCAGTACTCTTCTGCACAAGCAAGGAGGTATCTGAATGTGGTCTCCAATTATCCTATCTATGCCAGGCTCTCAGATTAGCTGCTTTGAGGCATTATTGAACATCACCCAAGGGCAGTCTTTGCTATCATGCCCCCAAATTTTATCTCCTCTACAGAGACTAAGCTTGTCATTACCACTGTGATTTTTAACTCCCTTACCATTACATAATCACCATCATCAGAACTGCCTGGTGGTTCATGCAACAGTCCCTGAAGATTTACACAGAAATTCTGTAACATGCTTTATTTATTCACTTCATTTGACCACACATTTTACCACAGTACCACTGTTCTACCATAAGGACCTGCTCTACCATTCCAAATGCAACTCTAGGAACAACACATTATGCTACTTATCTTTTTTTCACCAAGCCTTAAAATTGCTACTACATCAGCACCTTCATCTAAACCCAGCCTCATTTATGCATCACAGCTTTTATGCTTCAAGATCCAAACATGTATTTCTACAAAAATTCTAGATTTAGATGCCTAGCCACAGATTTTTTTTGTGTAGGATGTTCTTCATTCCTTCCTACCTGAACTTTGATAGTTCTCCTATCATTTCATCCAAGACTTTTAATAGATTTGCAACTAAGTAGGTCATCCTAAATTGCATGTTTTATTGCACCTGGGTTTTTTCCCCTCCTCAGACTTAAAATTTTATGCTAGGAAATACCTTTTTCTACAAGCAATCCAGTTGGGGTTTGGTTATTCACACCACAGGATAAATGCACATCATCTGTAGTCCTACTTTTGTTTATACAATGTACAGTTAGTTATGTATGTATCCTATAAGCCCATTCAAAAGCAGTTCAGAATTTTAATAGAGCACATTTTCCTTTGCTTTTGAAAGACTGGCAATGTAGCCTGCTAGTTAATTACTTATATAGAGCATTTTTCTTCTAGAGTTTAGAGGGTTTTGGACCTTTATTATTTACTATAACTTCTCCTCCATAGACTAATCAGCCATTTTTCAGAATACATACATAACCAAAGCACTAAAATCTGCTATTTAATTTTGTTGCTCAGTCAATTCTCTGTTACCACACTTGTAAAAGGCACCTCTGAGTAATGATCTCTTTGCTCGAACAATTATGCTTATTAGCTGTAAATAATTTAATTGATATCCATCATATATCAAGGTCTTCAAACTCTATAGCTGTTTAGGAGACCTGTGCAGGACAGCTATAAAAACTGCAGAAGCCAAATTTCTAGAGCAAGAGACACTACTACACACCAAATAATATTTCAGAGTACCAACTCTTGAAAATAACTAGCACTCTTCCCTAAAATATTCTTTCTTACCTTTATTCCCCTAGACCAGCCAAACTAGCCTTTTATTCTTTACATTTTATTCAATCTACTGCACACAACTCAAATCCAAAATTTTAATGTGCTACACATTTTCATGTTTGAATTGACTAACTATGTGTTGATGTTCTCAAGATAAAGCTGAAAACTTTGACAGCTGGCAAGGGGGTAGTTGGGTTTTCTGTTGCTCAGGAAGGTGTGGGAGGTGTTGGAATGTAGCTAGGAATACATGAATTTTGTGGTAACGAGGGTGTCTACTTTTCATTACTCTTTTTGTGCAGGACAGGGGCAGTTGGACCTTTTGGAAAGCAAGGTTAATACGATTTACTCTTCACCCTTGACAGCAACTGAGAACCCCACAGGAAGAGAACTCAGCAGCTGATGTGATGTGCAAGAAAAGCTTTTGACACTGTCAATTCAGGTTGCCATCTGACTTGTCACATTGTTCAATGCTGATCACAGTTTGAAGACTAGTTTTTTAACCACTGGTCTAGAGGTGTCCACTCAAATTTTGATAGCACTGGCTGATGTACTGCGTCACTAGAGAACCGTCAGATGATCAGAGCTGGATCATTCTGACAGAGGGTGGAAACATGCCATGTCACTCAGCAAAAAGATGTGGGCTGAGAAGGAAATGATACTTGTAAGCAGGCAGTTCAGGATGTAGTGGGTAAAAGAAAGCTCAGAACTAAAAGTTCAAGAGAAGCACATCCTCATGTATTCAGTGACACACACCACGCTTCCTTTTCCAAACTTATGATACAGCAGATATGGACAAGCCCATGATTTTTTTTAAACAGAAATTGACTTTCTATGTTTTACACAGCACAAACACAGCCTGACATCCAACAATGCTTTACATGGGCCAGTAAGTATATAGAGTCCTTGAAAACCAGCAATTTTCATCTTTCAGAGAGTCCTCTGACTCTCTAACAAGGAAATTACCAAACAATTATGGTAGAGGACAGATGGGTAGCAAGCCTCAGGACCCATCACCTTCAAACACCATCCAGGCTATATATATCATGTACATTTTTCATCCCTTACAGTTCAACAAGATTTCATTCAGAGGCTTAGACTACTCCATGCCTGAAGATATTGTGATGATAAATAACCTATAACTGAAACAAGAAGTTTTCTCTGTCAAGTTTATAAGTTCTAACAACTAAAGAGAGATACAAGTATAGTATCTTAAACACTGGTGTTTGCAGTGAAGGGAAGACATTCTGACCCTTACTTAGGTAAGTGCTTGTATGCAGGAAAAAACCTTGCTTTTACACAGCTTTGTTGAAGCAAAAGAAGTTCCCTTACAGCACACAGTGCTAACCCAGCAGCAATACCTCTACACCCTTCACAATGCACATGCAAGCCAGACGTTTCTTTACTTGGGAGATGACAAAGGATATAATGAGAGCACCTCTCATTCCTTCACATCACAGAGAAGACCCACTGTTCAAGGTTACTCTTGCAAAGCTGAGCTCTGACCTCTTACAGCTTCAGCCCTGTTGTCACACTTCTACTGAAGGACAAAAACATACTACACATTCATGCAGCTTAAAGTAGCAGGGTGGCCCTGTATCACATGCCCAAAGCAAGAGCACATTCAGAGATTTATGACTTCCTTGGTACTCCCGCACAGCGAGAGACTCGCTCTTTAGTTCATACAACAAAGACTTCTGCACTTACAGGGGAACACCTGGCAACTCTACCTCCAGATGACACAGTGTGGTTCTACTTGACAGCTCTTTCTTGTAACCATAGACTGTAGTGGTTACTACATTCAGACAAAAAAATTAACACAGTTTCCTTGCTGTTGCCAAAAAAACAGGGTACGTCCTTCCCGTGCATAGTGAATATCACCTTGTACTGACTTGTTTACAGCAAAGGACAACCTCTTTTTCACCCTACCAAGTATTTCTCTGAAGGAAGAATGAAATAATTTTTTGCAGATTATTCATTTTGCAGAAAATTCTACTGGATATCCCCTAGAGGGGATTTATCTGAACGCAACGTGCAATCTCACAAGAAAAGTTTGACTACAAATCCATCTGACTCAGAAATATTGGTAAGCACCAGGGAGCAGAACAAACTCCTTTTCCACTTTCACATTACTTTTCAAAAAAAAATCATTAGGATGTTCAACTGAATTAAAATCTGAATTCAAACACTAAAGCAAGCCTTCCCTGCTGTCACACAGGCAACAGAAGTAACAGACTATCCATAAGTTCAACACAGCCAAACATTCTCTGGGGAGCCTCCGGTGCAGTAAGGTGGTCTGGCCAATTGTGGGCAGACACGAGGCCATTGCAACAGAAGCACATGGAAGTGGGTGGTCAGGGGCAGCTAAGTGCTTCTTAGAGACTTAATTCCCTACACCATTTGGAAACTTCTCAGGTCTGAACAGGGCAGTGTGCCCCTGATAATTTAGCTGCAGAGCAGATTCTCTTAAAGATACACAAAACACAGTACCCTGGGGGGCATAAACATATCTACAACTTGAACTAGGTGGAGTTAAGGTTTTTTCTGTTCATATGTCTTTCTCACGTTGGTCAGAAGGCAACTCTCTCAGTCAGGAGTGAGTAAAACTCTTCATCATTATAGAAGAGTGTACTGGAATGCCAATCTGAAGCCATATGGTAAATACTTTGAAATTATAAATGCTGATAAGAATAAATCCTTAAACTTGCTTGGAAAATTATTCATGTTGATGGCTCTCAGTTCTTTGCAGTATCCCTCTCAACCAAAATGTAATATTTTTATTACAATTATTAAACATTAGAAGTATACAGAGCAACTACTTTATTCCCTTTCATTTAAATCTTCCTTTTTCAGCCATCCTGTGAAACTAAGTTGGTAAAACTATGAAGAATTTTCTCCCACACTGATGTCACAAACATCTCTGCTGTCCTACATTATTATAAAAAGAAAACCTCATATGCCACCATAAAAGAATAAATTCAGCATCACACAAAACTACACTTCTCAAAGTCCTTACTCAAGAGTTCAAAGTATATTTACTTTAGATCTCTAAAAATATTTTCAACTATGGAAACTGCAGAGGATTAGAAATTTCAGATTTGCTAAGCTTTTTGACCCCCCCATCACTTCCTTCCCACCTTACTAGAAAGTCTATTTAAGTTTTGTTTTTAATTACCCTTTCATCTTTAATAACTCAAATTCACTTACCAATAAAAGCGATGAAGAAATTCAGTATTGCATAGTACATAATATATATTATATAACATATAACAAATATTTACTGCACAAAAGCAAAATGTTTATTGATCACAAACTCATGAGATAAATACACTTTGTCACACTTCGCAGAAATAAAAATACAAACAAAAGCAGAAAGAATTATAAGAAATCTGATCTTCTGATAATCAAAAGAGAAAGGCTTCAGTTAAAAAAGCTGATGGTCATGAAAATAGAAATTAGTGGAAAAAAATCTTGCACTTAAATTCCAGTTTAAGCAATTCATACTCAGCAGTCAAAATACGCAGCTGGTATAAATCTACTGGCTTCTGAGTCAGAAATCATGCAGTGAGCAAAACGTCTCACCTTTTTTTCATGTGCTAAACCATAATTTTAAGAAATAATTATTTAGCAAATATGTCTGGAAGAAAGTTTTGTCTTAAGGACTCCTTTTTAGCTGAAAGGCTTTTGAGACCCGTAAAATAAAGCCAACGCTGTCCCCCTCTCTTACCCAATATATCCAGCTGCCGTAGGTGCGTGCAGTTGGCAGCGAGCTCCTCAATGTCTGTGTCACACACAGATCTGTTGGCTGTAAGGAAGAGCTTCTGCAGATTGGGGAGTTTGCGTGCGAGGTTTGTGAAGCAGCCTGTGCTGCTCTGGAGTGTAGGACACCAACCAAGGTCAAGTTCTTCCAAAAGTTGGCAGCCTGAAGCCAACTCCGCGATCCCGCTTTCCGTTATGTTTTTACATCTCCACAAATCCAGACTGCGAAGCTTTTTGCATTTTGCTCCCATCATGCTTGCTATAAGGTCATAGTCTTCAATCTGCAAGGAAAGCAGACGCTCCGTCATGTGCAGTGTCATTCAGAGGTGTTTCAAGGTTTGCTTCCTAACACACATAACACATCTGGCTCAAGCATTCGTCATTTCTAAAAATTGTTCATGGTATGGTACAGTGAGATCTACTTTTATAAGAGACAAAAATAAAATTAAATTCTTATAAACCCCAGACTCAGTTGTTTTTAAATTCACTTAATACTGAGGATCAAACCACAGCAAAAGTTGTTTCTTTGAAGAAACTTTTCTTTTTGCACAGCTGTTTTCCCCTTTAAAGACGATTATAACAGCTTTTATGACCACAGGAAGTGCAACTACTGAAGAATGATTGAAGTACTCATTTCCATTTTAAGTTGATCAGTTACTGCATCTCCTTATGAAAGTCTTATTAATTACTTGTTAAGTGATTACACATACAGAGAATGCCCTAAAACTTAGAAAAAGGCTGAAGAACTCTGAGAAAGCCTACAAACCATTTTAGGCCTAACTAAACCAGTACATAACCCTTAAATATATGACAAAGTTGCATTCATCTTGGATTTTCCAAAAGAGTAGTCTAGTATAAACCTCACATTTAACACACGTTTGTGAAACAAACCCAGATTGGTTCCAAAGTGAGTGCACACACACAGACACACACAATCCCCCTACACATCCTGAATGGTCCAAGCACTCACCATGACACAGCTGCCCAGGCTGAGGTGCTGCAGCTCCGAGCAGAAGTTCAAAATACTGAGCAGGGCTGTTTGCTGCCACGGGGGAACACATCAGAAGGAAATACAGAAAGTGAAACAAAGAGAAGAGGTCAATTAGACATTAAAGGCTGTCACCACATTTCTTGAAATACAGCTCAAAACTCTTTTACAGGTGCCTCAAATGCCACTTAATGAGTCTCTGGGTACTTTACCCATTGATTGGCTTAAAGAAATGGTAATCGTTACAAACCTTTATGCAAGTCACTCTGGATGGGCTTGTGTGCTGCCCTGAAGATAGCCACACCCCACTGACCTATCTGCTCATCTCCCACAGGAGAGCCGGTGAAGAGCGCAGCAAGATCAAATAACAGGCAAGGCCAGCCTGCAAACACACAGGGCTGGCCACACACCAGGAGAGGAGGGCAAGCTCTGACATTCTCCCATCAGCTGCAGCCTGATGGAGCTGCCAATAGAGCTGCACAGCACCAGGGCTGGGCTGGGGACTTGAATGTCAAAGGCGGCTCCGTGCTGACAAGGATGCTGACAGCCACTGAGCACTTGTCACTACTATCATGCTGACTGAAACAGATATAATGGGTATTTTACACTCCTGTTCCTGCCATTTAAGGTTGCCATTCTTTGCAGAAAGTACTGCACATTGCTCAACCTGAAACTGACTGCAACATCAGACGCACCTTACAAAAGTGCACAGCTGCCTGTTCCACAAAGGAAACTTTTACAGATTTTTTATCTGTGTTTCTAAGATACAAAAAAATCCTTCTGTACTGTCTGTAGACATATTTTGTTTTGTATTTGGAAACGCTCACAGTGTGAAAAAAAGAATATAAGCTGGGATTCACATCACAAATACCTGTGCATCATAATTAAAACAGCACTTCATTAGGACTTTGTGATCTATATGAGCTTTAAAACAGGACTAGGCTTCACAACATGTTAACAACAAAAATATGTGCATTTCTACAGGATATACAACAGTTTCTAATAGAAAAAAAACAAGCAATATACAAATGACAAAGTAATCTACTGCTATTAAGTGTAATTACAACAAGAGCACTAGTCAACAATATTTGTATGCAGGAGTAGTATAATTTATAGTTTCTTTAAAGATAAATTTACTTGTTTTCAGAAAACTTATAGTTAAATGCTTTGGTTAGTTTCCCCTGTTACATTCTAATGGAACTTGGCAGAAATATATCACCAAGAAGAAACATCTGATTCCTGGAAAGACTGGCAGACACAGAACAGGGACATAGCATGGGGCATTCACAGAGACCATTTCAGACATTTAATTTAGGTGTCTCCAAGGAGCAATTATAAATACCCAACACTTGACATGCTGAATCTTGATTCTAGCTGGGCCTTCTAAGATTTGATTTCCCAAAGGCAGCCTAAAAGTAGATGCTAAGACTAAGCCTTCCTCACATAGATCTTGGTAGAAGTCCTACAAAGTCATTGTCCCTTGCTTGCTTGACTTTCATTCACTTGTTAAAGGAAAAGGTAGCGAGGGAATGAAACACTAGCATTAAAAATACATTATTTAAGAGGTTATTAAGAATATTTTAAGGTTGGTAAATGTGTAAATATCCAATTCATTTTAAATTGAGCAGTTAATAAGCAAATGGTTCATTTGGATCATGAAAGAGGAATAACAACTCAAAGAGAATGAGACACTGTCTTTCTTATTCAACTCACTGAAAGTTATGAGCTTCAGAACCTACTCAGATGCACAAATTAAAAGCAAAATCCTCAAATCCCTGCCTGCAAACCTTAAATATTGGAGCTAAAAAAATCAGTCTCTAAGAGTACACAGAGCTCCAAACAAGGTTTCTTCAGGTATTCAGATATCTCCACAGGAAAGCTGAATATATTGCTGCATTCCACCAAGTCTTTCAGTAATGGTTTCCAGATTGGAATTGAAACACTGGCCTGAAAGGATGGGAAACAGCAATCTCTTTCCTTACTTGACACAAACAGTACAAAAGTGAACAGTCACTCTGAACAGCTAGAAGGATGTGAGATCAATTCCACGCCTCTTCTGAGAGGGGTGAAATACAGAGGAGGACTAGTATTCATAGTTATCTTGATAGATAATTGAGCTCCATGTGTTAACTTCAACAGGAATATCATGGATCTCTCAGAGTACCTTTTTAGTCCCTCTCTTTTTTAAGACAGTCCTTCCTGTATTGCCATGCACTGAGGCTAGATTTTCAAAGGTCTTTTCACAATCTATTACTTTAAACCATTATTTAAAAAACAAAACCAACTTTTTTTAAAAGCACTAGAAATTTGAATAATAGAAGGGAGCTTGGTAGAACATCATGTCATACCATCACAAATCATGCCAAGTCAAGCCCAAGAGTAAACAACCACATACTCAACATTCATTTCACTGGCTATATTAATTCCTCTTCTGGGGCTCACACATGCCCACACACAGCAAACCAGATTTCCTTCAGACGCAGTGTCTGTTCTTCTGTAACTGAGGTGGGCTTTGCATATGTCATGCAAGAAGAAAAAACTCATTGTGCATGCTTAGCTATGTCTCAGTCAGTTGAGAATCCAGGTGGCAAAAGACATGAAAATAGCAGGAGAGAATGGCAGCTCACAGAATCCATATGCACTCCATATAGGAGGACGATCATTGTAATAACCTGTCTGTGTCAAGCCATCTGTCAGTACAACAGCATGAGCGACACCACTCCTACTGCAGCAAAGGAGAACAGCAAGGCAGTCACCCCATCCTGGAGCTCTAACAGGCCAACTTTCCTGTGTTAGAGTGCTTCACAAGACAAGCCTGAACCTGGAGTCTAACTTCATTTTCTTGGCCAAGCAGAGACACTCAAATCAAAGACTATCCATCTAACAACATTCTTCAGCCTAGCAGCCAAGACATTCACAGTTTGGAGATTTTTGGAGTTTTCCCTGAAACAAAGGCAAAATTTAACTTTGTACCTGCTCCGTTTTAAAGGGATTGAGAGAGAGTGGATGATTACTGAAACCCACAAAAAAACACTCTAGAAACAAACTTTAGATAAGATTTACTTTTGCTTAATGAAATCACGGCATCAGTGGCCTAAATTTCTTTTGCCATCCAAGGAAAACAAAGCCTACCAAAATAATCAATATTTATAAGATGCCACAGACAACAGGAAAAGTTCAAAGTGAGTGAATAAAATGGTCTGCTCTATCCTCCATTCCCAGGAAAGAGGTTTTTAGATGAGGAAAACAGAGTGAAGAAGTTGTTTTCAGAAAGAAGACTGTGATGTCAAACTGATTGGAAGGATATGACAGTGCTGCTAAACACAACCTTACAGAGCATATTTCAGAAATATTTTAAGGCATAATAGTCATAAACCTCAGAAAGAGGGAAGATGGCCTGCAGATTCTCTGAAATCTTTATATACAGGTACAACAAATGTCTCTCAGAAAGGACATCAACACAGCTGATCCTGGCTTGAACAGGAGATGAGATTACCATCTGAAATCCTACTTTTCTCCACACAGGACAGGTGACAGGTCTGTCCAAACATCAAAGTCCTTCCTCCACCCTGTAAGACACACCTGGACACACACAATAATACTTAGTGGGACACAGTTCTGTGCTATGTATACTTTCAAATAAATGGGTGGTATTGGACAGGTGTATCCTACCTGTCTTTGTAAAGGCCTTGGCCATCACACAAGTTCTGACTTCAATATTGAAAAAGTAATGCTGGTTTGAACAGACAACCCCAGCAGAAAAACCAAACACTGGTGTCAGAGCAATATACTTGGCAAGACTGAATCTTGCTTGGCTTTTTCCAGGATTTTTTCACATTCATGATCCAGCAGAAAACACAAATCATTTCTGATGTATGATGAAAGCATCTAACAGATAGCCTGAGCTCAAAGTCTGTTCAAACAGAAAACCCTTCTGTCTGTGGCAGATGTGACTCACCTGTGAAAGATGCACTTAGAACATTTAACTATTTACTCATTGCAGTTTCAGTGTCAAGTAGTTAGAGATTTAAAAATATAAAAAGGATTAAAAAATACAAATGATGCACTATAATATGGCTATCACATAACAACTGCACTACTATGCTACAAGGCATGAAAATAAGTGCACCACAGTGTGACTCTGGAAGATTAAAGGAAGAGCTTAAGAAAAACAACATTTTGCTTTGGGTTAGAGAAGAAATAGTCTGCAGCTTTTAATTAACTTTCTATAGATAAATCTTGTAAGATACTTTTAAATTTGTAACTGTTTTACTCAAGACAAACAACAGGTTGTTTCTTCCTCTTCTCAGAAGAGCCATGTCTGACATAAATTGGGAATTCTTCCAGTCTCTCAATATAAAACAAGAACCTAAGTCTTTTAAAATACTTTTATTCTTCTGCAATTGTTTCTTCAAATTTTTCAGTGACGTTATTGCTAAGACAAAGGAATCTAAAAATTATCTGTAGATAATTAAAGACTGCTTTCTCCCTTCCCTGGCTCACTATGTTTTTAATCAGAGTTACTAATTCTCCAGTTGACCTTTTTGTTGAAAAAGAAATTGAATTACATAGGATTTAATTTTGTATTTTTAACATTAAAAATCCAAGACACTAATAGAAAATATTTCCTTCAATAGCCAACCCCACAACGCTGCCTCAATGAGGAGGGGTAAATGTAATAAAGAAGAGGTAACTCCACAGGATGCTTTAAGTATTCTGTCTTCCTCAAAACTATCAAAGTCAATGAGCTTTGAATAAATTCCTTAAAATTATTTGAACCTGAGATACTGAAAGAAAAAAAAACAAAACCTGGAGAACTGTGAAGGCCAAGCCAATGAAATCTATGTCTCTCTCAAGCCCACCAATCACATCCATAATTCTCAGAAGCTGATTCTTTAGTAGAACAATAAAAATATTCTTAGAACTGCACAGAAAGGCTCCTCTGTTCATGATCTGAGCAGAAGCTTACCTTTTGTCTCCAAAAGGTTTAAATTTACAGCAAGGGATGCTGGAATTGGCTGACTTACCCAGAGAAACACACAATTGTGGGAACA